GGTACAACAATAGCTTCAATCCATTTGAAAATATAATCTACAACAAGTAATATATATAAATTCCCAAATGTAGGCATAAATGGTCCCATAAAATCTAATCCCCACACATAAAAAATTTCAACTTATAATGTGTAATTTAGAGGCATTTCATTTCTTTTAAAAATATTTCCTACTCGTTGACATCAATAGCATGTTTTAATATATTCACTAACATCTCTAAAAAGAGTAGACCAATAAAATCCAGCTTGCAAAATCTTATATGCAGTTCTACTCATTCTAAAATGTCCTCTAAATTCAGAATCATGACATCTTGTTGAGTTTCCTCATAAGGCACACACCTTCTAATAATTAGATTTTTACATTGTTTATATAGATATGGGTCATCCCAAAAATAGAATCCCAATAGATATGGGTCATCCCAAAAATAGAATTTTGAATCATGTATAAATTTCTTTATTTGTGGATTTTTGATATCAGGTGGTAAAATATTCTTACAATATAATTTACTATATCAACATACCATGGTACATTCATTTCATCAATACTATATAATTGTTCATCAGGAAAATTCTCTAAAATTTCATTTATAAAATTAAAATTAGTTAAATTAGTTAATATTTCTCTTTCTAGTATAGACAAATGATCAGTTAATTGATTATTATTTCCCTATCTATCAACTATGATAAAATCAAACTCTTACAATAGAAGTATTCATTTAATTAATCTTAGTTTATCATCCTTCTTTTGCATCAAGTATTTAATAACAAAATGATCTGTATGCACTATACATTTAGTTCCAATTAAGTAAGGTTCATCAAAGGCATAAACAATAGTGAGTAACTCTCTTTCAGTAGTAGTGTAGTTAATTTGAGCATCGTTTAGAGTTTTACTATCATAATATGTTACTTTAAAAACTTTGTTGTGTCTTTGTCCTAACACAACCCCAATACCATAATCACTAGCATCACACATTATTTCAAATGGTTCTTCCCAATCAGGTGGAACAATTATAGGTGCAGTGATTAATTTTTATTTCAATAATTCAAATGCTTTTATGCATTCCTCATTAAAATCAAATTTCGTGTCTTTTTCTAAAAGTTGGCATAATGGCTTAGTTATTTTAGAAAAAATTTTTATGTAACGCTTGTAGAATCCAACATGTCCTAAAAAGCTTCTTACCCTTTAACATTAGTCAGAGGTGGTAATTTTTCAATAACTTGAATTTTTTGCAGAATCTACTTTCATGTCATTTTCAGAAATTTTATTCCCAAGTACCAAGTACAACCAAGTACAATTCCTCCTGCAACCATAAATTGGCATTTTTCCGAATTTAGTACTAGATTGATTTTTCACATACTTCCAAAAATTTTTCTAAATTATTTAAACATAATTCAAACGAAGTTCCAAATGCCAAAAATTCATTCATAAACACTTCTATTCCATGTTCAATAAAATTGCTAAAGATTGACATCGATTCATCATACATCTTTGAAATGTTGCAGGTGTAATGCATAGTCTAAAAGGCATTCTATGAAAAGCAAATGTTTCATATGTGCTTGTAAATGTTATCTTCTCTTGATCCTCTAGAGCAATTGGAATTTGATGATAACCGATATATCCATCTAAAAAGCAATAATATTTGTTCATAACCAATCTATCCAACATTTGGTCTAGAAAAGGTACATGAAAGTGGTCCTTTCTAGTGGCCATATTTAATTTTCTATTGTCAATACAAATTTGCCAACCAGTGACTTGTCTTATTGGTATTAGTTTATTTTTTTCATTTTCATCAACGGTCACTCCTCCTTTCTTCGAAACATTATGAATTGGAATTACCCAAGCACTATCTGAAATAAAATATATAATTCCAGCATCTACCCATTTTAAAATTTCTTTTTTAACAACTCTTTTTTAACAACTTCTTTCCTTTTTTATTCTTTCATTATTGGGTTTAATTTCCTCTGAGGATCAACTTTAAGTTTGTACTTTTCATCTAATAGAATTCGGTACATACAAATAGAAGGACTAATTCCTTTAATATATGCTAAAGTCCATTCAAAAGCCTTTTTATATTTTTTTAACATCTCTATTATCAAAAGCCTTTTTTCAAAAGCCTTTTTATATTTTTTTAACATCTCTATTAATTTTTGTTCTTAAATTTCTGTTAATTTAGAAGATACAAAAATAGGAAATGTTAATAACTCTCCTAAAAACACATATTTTAAGTGGGCAGGTAATGTTTTCAGTTCAAGTTCAGGTGGTTTAATACTTGAAGGAATAAGATTTTTATTATCATTTTACAACAAGTCTAAAGTTTCAAATTTGCCCTGGATATAATCAAAATCTTCTTCTTTTATTTCATCCTTATTTTCCAAAAATTCTCCTTGCTTTAATTTCTCTTCAAACTCATTCTTAAATTGCTCATTACTCAGATAATCAGTTACTTCTATCTTAAAACATTCATTATTTTTTTCTATTGTTGGATATTTCATAGCTTTTGCAATATTAAATGTTACTTCTTGATCATTAACTCTCATTATTAATTCTCCTTTTTGCACATCTATCACAGTTCTCCTTGTTGCAAGAAATGGTCTCCTAAAAATAATAGGAATTTCTTTATCTTCCTTCATATCCAATACTATAAAGTCTACAGGGAAAATAAATTTATCCACTTTTACTAATACATCCTCTATAACTCCTTGTAGATAAGTTATTGATCGATCAGCTAACTAAAGAGTTACAGTAGTAGGGGAAATATCTCCTAAATCTAAACGTTTAAAGATCAATAAAGACATAAGATTGATATTCGCTCCAAAATCACATAAAGCTTTTCCAAATAAATTTTCACCAATAGCACAAGGTATAGTAAAACTATCAGGATCTTTTAATTTTTTAGAAAACTTTTTCTGAATAATAGCACTACACTCTTCACTGAGTGCAACGGTGTCATGATATGTAAATTTCCTTTTTTTGTTTAGTATAGCCTTCATAATCTTCCTATTATTACCGACCCTAGTCCTACAATTTCTCATCTCTTAGTTCACTCGCACGTCCTGAGATAGAGAATTTTTCAGATAAGGGGGCAACACAACATACAACAAATTGGAGACTCTACAACGAAATCAAATCCATCCGACATGGATGAAGACCGATGGCGGTGGTGACGAAAGCGGCCAACTGATGTTAATGTGTTTTCCTTTCATATATTCATAAATTATGCTGCTATTATAGATTTTTTACCCATTTATTTTGACTATGCAATTTTCAAATTACGAGGCATGTGCCTCAAACTACCTCAAAAACGAAAAAAAAAAACACTCAGTACATAATTGGACAGTTTTTAATAGAGATTTATTTCACACGAACTTTTCATATCACTAAAAAAAACACTAGTTTAACTTTTAAACTGTAAAATACACATCTGTATGCATACATGTGAAGAAATATGCATATAAATTGAAGTTTAAGTGTTAAATACATAAAAAAAGAAGAATTAGGTGATATCTTTGTAAATATTTCTTCAAATTTAAGTTCTTGTTAGATTATAGCACATTATAAATAATTCATTTTTACACTGAAAGAATTTGTAGTTTATTTATTAAATAAAATTATTTTTTCAAAACTTAGAACTCAATCATTGAAAATAAAAAAAAAAATTTAACAATCATGTTATTTTAAGTCCTAGTTGAGAATGAATGGTTTTCTAAGTGCATACGTGGCAATTTTAGGGGTCAAATAGCTTCAAAAATATTATTATTTACGTTCTTAATACTTAAAATTTAAAATTACAAATTCCACACTTCCGTTAAATTTCTCCCTACCACAGAAAAATTATTTTATACTATTTTATACGGTGTCCGATCTCTACCATCTATTACAATAATTTCTTTTAAAAAAAATTCAAAATAAGACTCACCGTCATACAACTTTATTGTGATGGACGGTGGAGACCGGACACCGTATAAATTTTTGCATACAGCATCCATATGGAATAATTTTTACCCTACCACACCTCACAATTTCAAGCCTACCATGCAGCTTAATAAATATATTTTTAACTGTAAAAAAAAAAATTGAATAAGTTCTGAATATTGATAAGGAAAAGCTTATTTTAAAAATACAACTATTATACAGATAATCATGTTGAACTCTAATTATTAAGAATAGAGATTATATTGTGCGTTTCCTTTGACTAATTTTATGTTAAATTTAGCAAACTAAGACTTACAAATAAGCATCAATTATTTTATCATTACCAAATCATGTTTCAGAAATTATTCAGGATCTTTTATCTTTAATTTTATTTTTATTTTTATTTTTATTTTTATTTTTGCTTTTATTTAAAAACATATTTCTTTAATACATTTTTTATATATATTTTTTAAAATAAATTAACTTATTTTTAAAAATATACAGAATATCTAAAATTTATTTTATATGTTTTAAAAAATAACTAAATATGTTATATCATTTCAAACATTTTATTTAAAATTGAAATATAAATAAAAAAAATAAAAATAAAAATAAAAAACAACAGTGATCACAAAAAGCCACTCAACAGATTAGGAAATTCATTATCTACTCAAAAAATTGATTTGTCTAGTTTCTTCTTAATAATTGTAAGATAAGCTTCTAGGTGGCAACATAATTAAGCGAACAATTAGCTTTCAATGGCTAGCTATTTTTTTTCTCCGGGGGCAAAGATGGCAAACATTTAATTTATAACCATAAAAAAGACACCATTAACTTTAATCAATTGAAAAATAGAAGTGGCAACATAACATATAATTCTCATTTTTACATATTAACACCTAAACTTTCATATTTACATACATAGCACTTAAATCTTTAATATTACAAAAAAAATATATATCATTATAATTTTATAAAATTGAAATACACCTTTTATGACACCAAAGTGTTACAAATGTAAACATGAAAATTTCAATGTTAGACATACAAAATATAAAGTAATTGTGTAATATATATGTAAATTTCCTTAAATACAATAAAGAAAATTTCTCCATAAAACTTGAACCAGGGCATTTTCGAATAAGTTGATGCCAAAAAGTGATCTCCAGGCAACACAAAATAACTTCTTTCTACATTTGTTAGCCACCGTAACTAAAAATACTAATTGAAATAATTCTCCAACTTCAGCTAAAGAAGCGCAATTGAGTGATTAATGAACCAACTGCAGGCCTAAAAGCTTTGTATTTTACTTTATTTACAAGCCTAAATTGAGCTTAAATGAATGTAGAAAGAAGCAAGCTGAGGGCCTATAAAACATAGTATTACGATCTTACTTGGAAGGAAAATTAATTTGCTTCTGGTATGGCCTTCGGTGTTGATTTGTGCTTAGGGAATGCTTAGAAGAAGCCAGCTTTCGAAGAGAAGCATGCAGAAGCATTACTGGCACAAGAAAAGGGAAAAGAAGGAATTAGGATGAACGGATAGCGTTCTAAGAAGGGAGGGGAAAATCATATTTCGTAGTAGTATTTTGATTTTGAACCTGTGTAGCTGACAACCGCGGTATAAAAAAGAGCCACCTGGAGATCGGTTAAGTAGAGTATCACCAACATTCAGAATGGATTTTGAAATATATTGAAGATCCAAAGTAAAATTAGGAAAAAAAAAACATTTTCAAATGCCTAAGCATTGACGCAACTGCTTGAAGAAAAAGAAACATATTTTTTCATTCATGTTGAATGCTATGTGAGCTGTTTACCTCTTAATGAAAAATATGTTTTTTAAAAAAAATGAAATTTTGTTTTGACTCAGTTATGGGTGTGAAAATGAAATCCTAACTTTTGTGGGATTTTGAAGATATTCATGTAAAGCTTGATTTCAAAGTATATTCAACCAAACGAAACCCAAAAAATTCATAAATTTTAAGGAAAAAATACATATTTTTCAACTTGGAACAGCCAAATTAGTCATTAATGTAAATATAGTTCACATTTTTAAACTAAGTTATCATAAATCTAATCATTTTTCACTCAATTATTAAATGTCAAACGCTTAACTATTCGCGGCATTGATGTGATGCATTGTTGGTCTCTCTACGGCACTTCCAAATCACGGTATATAATTTCTACAGCCTTATCATCAAAAAGTGCAACATTCGCAGTTTTTAATTGCAACAGATACTTCCAGTATAAAGTTTTACCACAAGTCATAAATACTCATTTTTCCACACTACCCGTAATTGTTTCCCCAACATTGTAATACTTGGAGACCAGCAAGTATAATCGTACTTCATACTAATGAAGGAGGAAGCGCCATTCCAGTTCTTCTTAGCATATTGTCAAACTGCATGGTAAATAGGTAAATTGCTCTGGCAAGTGCCCTTTTGTTAAAATTACTTCTTTTTTATCATCTTGAAACACAAGTGCACAAGTTAAAAGGTAAAAAATCAGGCTATCTTCAAATTCCTGAAATAAAGTTTCCTGAAGATTAAGCAGAAAAATGACATCGATGAAGAACAATAAAAATGTTTGTGATCTTCGAATCCTTGAAACAGTAGAGAAAGTACAGACAGAAGGAATGAATCTCTCATTGTTGGAGACATTATAATGCAAATTAATGTTGTGATGGCCACTCCTAACGGTAAAGATAAAAAAGCAGAAAGGTTTTTCATTATGAATTAATATTGATGATAAAGTTTGGACAAGTAATTGAAGAAAGGAATATTCAGATCAAGTCCAAGATTTGTGCAATAAAAAAAGAGAATGAATGAGGTAAGGTTAGAGTTGTCTTTTATATTATAAGTTAAAGACTTTATTTTTTAAATTAATAGTTTGGTATTACTATTAATATTATGAAATGAATCAGTGATGAAATGAGCTTTGATTTAAAGGATTAGGGCTTTGGATCATGGATCGTGCAAAAGATGAGGAAAAGATGAGATAAAGTTAGTGTTTATTTGAAAATTACTTATAGTCAACTTAATTATGAATTGTTACATTTTAATAATAGAATCATATGAAATATAACCATGAGTGTTAATTAAAAGAGTTGAGAAGAATTATTATTTTGGAAAAAGACAGAAAAGAGAAACTAAGGTAAGAATCAATTTGTAAGATTTATAAATTTATGTGAATTATTCAAGCATCAAAGGTTATTTTTTACAAGTAACATCTTTAATGTAATTTTTTAGGTAAACTGACTAATATTTGAGACTGTGGAGGAGAATGTCAACAAATTTGAAAGTATCCTTTTATAAGGGGAAATCAAAGTGAATATTACGGTTTATTTGAATCAAATTCAGTTTCATTTATTTTCAAAATGTTTCATTTGTAAAGCACTAAAAAATCTCTTATAATCAAAAGAAGATTAACGAAAATGATATGACTGTTTTATGATTTCAATTCTTTTATTTTTGAACCGCATTTAATGAAAAATTAAATGAATTTAATGGTTAGAAAAATAAAATACAAATTAAGTGAAAGATAAACGATTAAGTTTATCAGTAGTCATCACCTTTTACGATACTAGCAGGGAATGCTATTGTATTCGTGCATGTTAAATGAAAAGAAAATGAAAATGATTATGCCTTTATAATGTAAAATGAGAATTTTTTGATAATGTTCCTAAGATGGCACCTAAAAAAATAGAAAAAATTATTGATTAAAATGAATAAAAATATAATTAATAAAAATGAATTAATAAAAATTTTATAAAATAAAAACTACAAAGTTTACTTTATAAATTGATTAACATATTCCTTTGAGTCATAATGTTAAGTATTTGTATAGTTATTCAATGCATAATAAAGTGACAATTATTCACTAAGTTGTATTAAACTTAACATTTTGTTTAACTTCTCAATAAAATAACTGCTAAACTGATAATAAATAATGGGAGAGAATTTATTTATATGAGAAGAGAGATTAAAATAGGAGGTAATTTATTTAGTTTACCTATTTTCTCACTTTTATTATATCAACTATTTTATTGTATCAAGTTGGATGATTTAATGTATTTTATTATAAAATGTTTACTTATGTACTGTAGATTAGTGGTTCTTCTGTAATTATATTTTATTATGGACTAATACTATTGTTTAGAAATATTTTCTTTCACTATTTGATTGTCATTTCTTGGCTTGGTTAACTCAGAATTCCCGGGCCAAGTCTTGACAAGATACTTGCTGATCAAATTCCCAAAAATTCAATAAAATAATGCAAAAAGTAGAGAACACAAATCTTGCTCAATTAAGAGAAAAAGAAAATTGAATTTTAAATGGAAGTCAATGTTGTGAATACAATTAGATTGTAACCTAAGTTGAAGGCTTTTAAGGACCAACTGATCGAAATGATAGCAAGGCATGATGGGCTCTACATGAAATGTTAAACCAAAACGACTAAAAAAGCAGTACAATAAGTCTAAGATGGAAGTATAACAAATTATTGCTAAGATTACAAAGTTCTTGGCTGAGTTTAAAGCTATGGTCAAGGATTTAGAGCAGAAATTCAATTAAGTAGCCAATGGCAAGAAGATTTGAAGAAGATCTTGAAGCATAATCAGCAACTACATGATAAAATTAAAAAGCAAGAGAAGAGAACAAAGCTTTAGAATATGTCTAAAGATAAAGATGAAATAAAGATGAAACTCCAAGCCATGTTGAATGAGAATACTCAGTTGAAGGGCAATCTAAAGAATATGGAGTAGATTGTCTAAAGTAATAACAATAAAAGTTTCCTCGGATGAAAATAGAATAATACCGCTCACTATGGAGATCATTAAATTGAAAAAAGCACTTGCAAAGAAAAATGTAACCATGCAAGTAGTAGATTGTCCATAGAATACCCTGAATAAAGCCTGGAGTTAACTGAAGTGGACTTTTACACTAAAATTGCAAGTCCAAGGCAATATAGAAGAAGAAAAGCTTTTAAAGAAGCAATCCTTTGGCTATTGTGTTAAAGAGAAAAACAAATATAATCCTCAAGACATGTAATTTATAACAATTTTGTAAAGAAATGAACTTTATTTTTCTTTGCATCTAGTTTGTAACATTATTTTATGTGCTTCTTGTTATCTTTTTTGAATGAATGGTGATTAATATGAGACTTCAGGTGGATTGCTCTGAATCATGCACTTATATGAATGAAATCTTATGACTCAGTTTTCTAGAAAATTGGCCTTTCTGCTTTGGGTATGCACAACTTAGGAATCAATTCACAATAAATTGTTAGTGCTGTAGCCTTTAGCCATATTGGAAGGCTTATATTGAGAGTTTTTTTTCTGGCTAAGCGCTTGGTCTTAAGTGGATATGCCTTTCCATACTAGCAATTATCAACCTCTCTTAATTTTGCAAGTGGATAAACTAAACAATTGGTAAGGCTTCTATTGTTGGGACTCTAGTATATTCGCAAGGTTTCGTGTTGTTCAGGTAGGGTGTTAGTTCAAAAATTCATCAAAAAATATGCCTTTCCTGACCACAAATGACACTCCATGTTTATTCTGAAAAAGTAAATGTTTCCTTCAGAAGTACACTGCATTCCTATGTCATAAACAATGATTTTCAATAAAACATGCTAAAGATCAAATGGAACTGCATCATATAATACTTTATACACAAAAAATTTGAAATCATGAAATTCACCTTGCTTTGATACTCCATCATATAGTGAAGAATAATATTGATCCATCCTATAGGATAAGATTATGGATGTTTCATTCCTCACATCTTTGGACTAGAGAAAAAACAAACCAAATTTCTACTACTAAATAAGGCAATAAAACTCTTTGCCCCATGATTCTAGACGATGATGTAAAGCTTGAAATGCCTCATCAACTAATTGCATTGATAGCCATCAATATGAATGCTGGATTTGATTTCTACACTCCTGGTAAAACTGTAATCTCTTCCCTTTCTATGTGATGGTCAAAGTATACTTGGCCTTATTCTTGGATGCCTCTTTTTTGGATGCAGCTTTTAACCCCTACTTCTAAATAACCTTGATACTGGCAGTATTGTAATAAGGCTTCCTTTTTTTATCTTTTATAGAAATTTTAAAACGCCAAAATAGAAAACCGAGGCACTTCACATTACCAAGACGAATAATAAGCCTCAAGGCAAATTGAGACATAAGCCTCAAATAAAAAAGTACTCCTAAAGGTAAAAACAACTCAAAACTAATCCATAACAATAAACATGCTTAAAAAAATAAAATAGTAATAAAAATGAAAACAAAAGCAAACGAACTAAAATAATATTAAGAAAAATGGAAATAAATCATGTTAAAAGGAAATTAAAATAAGCTAAAATAAAATGAAAAAATTTAAAAGAAACTTAAAAAACAAACTAATTAAGAAAATAAGTTAAAAAATAAGAAATAAAAACCTAAAAGCTTAAATCTCTATTTTTAAACTAGTCTAAATTCTAAACCAAAAAAACTAAAAAAACCATCTTAGATACAAATTAAAAGTGTATTTTATATTTCAAGTAAATATTACTAAAAAAGGTCACCTCATGCACCAATAGGCATATAGTTTCAAGGCAGATGCCTCAAATGAAAAAGGTAAAAACCTAGCTTAGGCCAAAAATTTTAATCAAGGGGAACGTACTAGGTGCCTCATGAAAAGCCTTTTTAAACAAGGCTTTTATCTCCTTTAAGCTACCCTTATAACTAGCCACTATTCTAAAAAAAACTTTTAACCTCTTCTAAGAGCTTTAATCTTCTAGTCTATTGTTAGGGGACTTTAGAAATGGCCTCTGCTATAGTGTCCAACAACAACAACAACAAATTTTTATCCCACTAAGTAGGGTTGGCGACATGAATCTTTTTTCTCCATTGCGTTCTATTGAGTGTCATATTTTCATTTTATTCTAATAAATTAAGATCATTTTTATACAATTTGCCCAAGTATTTCTACGACTAACTCTGCCTTTCTCAACATAAGTCGAATCTAAAACATATACTCTCCTAGCCAGACGACTCTCTCTAATTTTGTCTGCCACTGGAGCTACACTAACCTTACCACAGAGATAGTCATTTCGCATTTTGTTTATAAGTATAAAGCCACTCATCCACCTAAGCAGCCTCATCTCGGCAATACTTAACTTAGCTTTATGCTTCTCTTTTAAAGGCCAACATTCAGCGCCATAGAGCATTGCAAGTCTCACCATCATCTTATAAAATTTTCCTTTAAGTCTAAGTGGTACTTTTCTATCACACAATCGGCCCGATGCATTCCATCAATTCAATCAACCAACTTGAATTCTACTAATAACATCCCCATCTATGTCACCATCACTTTGAACAATAGACCCGAGATATCTAAAGCACTCACACCTTTTAATAATTTGATCGTCCATAGTTACAACTCTGTCACTAGAGCTACTATTACTAAAATTACATTCCATGTATTCAGTTTTAGTTCTACTCTAACGATGGCCTTCAGACTTCAATGTAGACCACCATAATTCAAGTTTTTCATGAACTTTCTCTCTAGTCTTATCCACAAGAAGGATATCGTCAGCAAAAAGCATACACCAAGGTACATCCTCTAAATATCCAGTAAGAGCATTCATAACTAAAGCAAAAAGATATGGGCTTAAAGTCGATCCCAGATGTAATCCAACAGAAATAGGAAATTATTTGATCAATCCTCCTTCTGTTCAAACACAAGTACAACTCTATTACACATATCTTTTTTCTATCACACAATAGGCCCGATGCATTCCATCAATTCAATCAACCAACTTGAATTCCACTAATAACATTCACATCTATGTCACCATCACTTTGAACAATAGACCCGAGATATCTATAGCACTCGCACCTTTTAATAATTTGATCACCCATAGTTACAACTCTGTCACTAGAGCTACTATTACTAAAATTACATTCCATGTATTCAGTTTTAGTTCTACTCTAACTATGGCCTTCAGACTTCAATGTAGACCACCATAATTCAAGTTTTTCATGAATATTTTCTCTAGTCTTATCCACATGAAGGATATCGTCAGATGGTTGACATTTAATGTGGCCAAACCATCTAAGACGACTCTCTCTAATTTTGTCTGCCACTGGAGCTACACTAACCTTATCACAGATATATTCATTTCACATTTTGTCTCTAAGTATAAAGCCACTCATCCACCTAAGCAGCCTCATCTCAACAATACTTAGCTTTATGCTTCTCTTTTAAAGGCCAAAATTCAGCGCCATAGAGCATTGCAAGTCTCACCAACATCTTATAAAATTTTCTTTTAAGTCTAAGTGGTACTTTTCTATCACACAATAGGTCTGATGCATTCCTTCAATTCAATCAACCAACTTGAATTCTACTAATAACATCCCCATCTATGTCACCATCACTTTGAACAATAGACCCGAGATATCTACAACGCTCACACCTTTTAATAATTTGATCGCTCATAATTACAACTCTGTCACAAGAGCTACTATTACTAAAATTACATTTCATGTATTCAGTTTTAGTTCTACTCTAACGATGGCCTTCACACTTAACGATGGCTTAGTTCTACTCTAACGATGGCCTTCACACTTCAATGTAGACCACCATAATTCAAGTTTTTCATGAACTTTCTCTCTAGTCTTATCCACAAGAAGGATATCGTCAGCAAAAAGCATACACCAAGGTACATCCTCTAAATATCCAGTAAGAGCATTCATAACTAAAGCAAAAAGATATGGGCTTAAAGTCGATCCCAGATGTAATCCAACAGAAATAGGAAATTATTTGATCAATCCTCCTTCTGTTCAAACACAAGTAACAACTCTATTACACATATCTTTAATGACACATATCTTTAATGGCTTTTTAATGGCTTGAATATAAGTCATATCAACACCTTTCTTCTCTAGAACTCTCCAAAGGATATCTCTTGGAAGCTTATCTCTTGGAAGCTTATCGTAAGTTTTTTTCTAAATCAATAATAATTATATGTAGATCCTCCTTATTCTCTTTGAACTTCTACATCAAACATCTCAATAAATGTATAGCTCCATAGTAGACCTACCCGGTCAAAATCCAAATCCATGGTAGACTCTGCAATAGTGTGCACTAAGAATAATTTAGATTAATTATAAAAAGTTTCATGAAGTCCTGCGATAAAATTTATGAGTTGTTTTCTCTTGCAACAAATTTCTTAGCGAGAAAGCATGTAACTTCGCAATATTCTTTTGTATTGTCTTCTCTTATGTCTGCATTAGCTATTGCCACCAGATCCATTGTTCTTCCTAAAGACTCAATGTTCCACCACATCATGTGAGTATGACAATTTCAATCGGGCATAGAAAGCTTTTATGCAAAAGTAAAATTGCAGAAAGTGTAATATGCTAACAGTACCTTTAAGCAATTGTTTGTGTAATGACCATATATTATGACAACAAAGGCATACAACTCTAGTTTGCTATCCAACTTGAAAGGAAGCAGGCGTCAAACAAAGGGCTGGCCTCACTCATCTACAAGCACTTATTCACCTTCATTACTAATGTTCTTTAGAAACAACAGGTAATTATCAAAACTTACAAAGAAATTCCCTCCAATTCTACGAGTCATTAATACAAAAATTGAGCTATTTGCTCCATCATATTGCTTGATTCCTTCTCAGACCTTGTAAATTTAATATAAGTTCCATTCAGGGTATTGATTTCCCTTACATGTTAATTGGTTTTTTTACAACTATTACTTATTGATTAGTTTTACGCCTTAAAGAAGGTGAGGATACAAAAAAATGGCTAAAACTTCCGTGGATAAGATTGGTGTCCAAAGCCCTCCACATGATATGGAATGGGTCCTTGTTGTAGTGTGTATGGTGTGTCACGTGCTCACCATTAACAAATTAGTTTTATGCCTGAAACAAGATAAGGATATAAAAAAATGGCTAAAACTTCCGTGGATAAGATTGGTGTCCAAAGCCCTCTGCATGAGATGGAATGGGCCCTTGTTGTAGTGTGTATGGCGTGTCACATGCTCACCACCAACAAAGGTTGATTTATACTTCCAAATCTATTATTAAATGTAAATTAGATCTTATTGGGCTTCATACGATACCTTGGTATCAGACCAGATTAGACTATCAAGCTTTGGAAATAGGCCAAAGGCAATCAACTATCATATAAAATTTCTAAGGTAAACAATACCATGAAGATCAATTATTAAATTAATAATAAAAATTGAAATTACATTATAAATGTGAAGCTAGGGATTTTCGGGAAACTCTACCAATTGACTTCATTTTTACTTCTTTGGCCTCATTGATAGGCTTGAATATTTCACCTTTTATGTACCCTTAAAAATAGACTGAATTTTTATTGTTTTATCACAATTTGAGAAGAGGAAAGCAGCTAGAAAACAGCCTTTCTGAATGGAAACATAACAAGATTTGGAATGTAGATACTAGCGACTTGATTAGGTATTGGAGAAACTACGATTGCAGGAGAAAAAGAACGAGCTACTTGAGTAGACGTTATACAACTAGAGGTGTTGGGCTCACAAAAAAAGAAAAAGAGAGAGAGAGAAGAAGAGAGAAAAATGACTAAGAATGAAGGTTGGGTTGAGTGAAAATTGAAATATATTTCATTTAAACCATTTTGGCTCACTTGTAACTATTCTATTATGTCCTTATTTACAGGAGAAATATGGAAAAAACCAAAAACATGCAATTTCTAAGTCATGAGGAAAAAGGGAATTACTAGAAAAGTTGCAACAAACTTCAAGAATCTAAAAACTTTGTAAAAATAGCAACAATGCCTTATAGAATCACAACTACTTCATAAAATCTAGGAGCATGACTTGGCTTGCTAGGATCATTCTAAAGTTGTTGGGAAACCAATAGATGACTTGGATACTCCTCGATCATAGACTCCTAAGGCAAGTACATTAGAAATCCGAAGAAGAGTTGCGTAAGTTCTACATATTTTTCATAATTCAAAATTCGTTCTAAAAGTCCATGCAGAAGGTCCTATTTACAAAAAAACTTGAGCAAAATTAAAGATAAATAATTCTTATCCTTCTTAAACTCAAACTAATTTAAAAAAAAATAGCAAATTGGCCAAAAATTATTAATTGAACCACTAGAAAAAAAAAAAAAAAAAAAAAAAAAAAAAAAAAGGGAGAAAGGGTTATAAGAGTAGTGGGACTAATATGGGGACTTGGGCTTAGCTTAATCAATTTCAAATAGAAGTATAGAAAAAAACTAATAAAGGGTTATAAAATTTGTAAACAATGTACAATAGTAGACCACTGGCTTCACTTATGGGGGAATAGTTCTCAAACACGCAGTCTCAGACTAGGCAGTGCTGCATTTTTTTTTTTTTAAATGGTTTTTTTTTCCTCCCACCAAATTTATTCATTGCATAACCACCGGTGGTCGAAAACACGAAAAACAGAAAATTCCAAAAAACAATAAAAATTACAAAAGGAAATACCGCTCACCAAATTGAGCAGCGAAAACCAAAATTGTCCTCACCGCTGGGCGCTTTTCCTCCAGCTCCCATTTATCGCTACAGAACCTCAGCAGCTCCCAAAGACCCAAACATACCATCAGACTCAAGAGCAGAACTGGCATCTGATACCTGCAGATCAAATAGGACTAACAGCAAATCAAGGTGGTGGAAAAAAGGCATCGATTTGAAGAATAAGAGAGGTAAGAACAGAAAGGACGCACAACGAGCACGCGAAGAAGATAAGGCATAAGAAAGCATAGTTCCGGGCGTATCGGCGAACATTTTCCTGAACCCTCATCCGGGCCTGGGAGGGCCCGCCAGGCCATGAGTAGGAGCTGGCGTCGCCGACAAACCCGACAGTCCAAGACGGCGTCTCACGAACGAAGTCCTCCGGAGTTAGCTTAGCGAAGGGGTTGATGGTAAACAGGGAAGCTAGGGTTCGTAGAAAGAAGAAGATGGAGGATATTCCACCGGCGACGGCAGCTGACGGAGTTTTCGGCGGGAGTGGTTTCGAGGAGGAAGGAAATGAGGCAGAGGAAGTGGGCAACGAGGAGGAGCTGGTGTCGAGGATTTCTAGGTAGCCGGAGTCGCGAAGCCAGGCCTCGAAGGCAGGCTCTGGTACGCTCAGGGCTAGCGGGTTCGCGGCAAATGACATCCTCAGGTCCCCTTCTCTCGCGAAGAGAGTTGGAGTGGACGGATATTTTTAGTGGTCTTAGAGCCCCTTTGGGCCCGCTTCATTTATTTATTTATTTTTTATTTTTTATTTTTTTGGTATGATTTAGAGGGGCCGAACGGAACCGGGCCGAACAGCCAGGTTATAGGCGTGGCGCAGCCTTCGGAAAGTATTTTTTAACTCTCTTGCCCCTTTGCCTAATCAGGCGAGAGTGGAGAGATGCCGCGAGCTTCATCTCGTCCACTATTCTTATCCGACTGGTGACTGTTCCTGTGTGTATTTTTTTCTCTACTTCTTATCTTTCTCTTCATGTCCTCGTGATCTACTCACAGCAAGAGTAAGAAACATATTTCTCATCTTCGTTCCTGTCATCGTAAGAGTTTTCTTAGATCTGGAATTTAGTTTTATCGCAAATGTTAGATCTATTGTTGGGTTAATTTGGAAAATATGGATGTATCTGCATTTAATTATGTCTTTCAGTGGTTGGATAGTTCCATTTTGACACATTCTGATCTCAGTCTTGTGGGTGTCTGTGTTCTGTGTCATTTCATATGTGACGCTTCACTCTTCAAAGAGAAATCATAAGTTTATGGGTTTGTGGAAAGTTTTACAATGGCTTATTGTACTTTTGTTAGAGAAAGAATGAAAGACTTTAAATTTCCTCTAAGGTTCGACAATTAATTTGAGTATTTTGAATGAAATGATTTGTTGTTCTATTCCATTTTATACTAACAATATTTCACTGTTATTTCATCTACTATTGCAATCAGGAAAATGTGAGCTCAAGAATTTCCAGGACATCCCGACGACTGGTTTACCACTATGGCCTCCAAACTTCCCTGTTGACGTCACGTCAACCACACAGTTACGAGAGAAAGTTCTATAGCTGCCCACGAAGCAACCCAGAACAGAGTCACTTCTTTTGTTGGGCAGACGGTTCGGCGGATTCCCCTGACGACAATGATCAGGAATAGAGAGCATCACTCGAGGAAAGTCTAGCACGAGAGCTAAATTGTCTCAATGTTAAAAATAATATAATCATCTTATTAGTTGTCATTGTAATTGTTTTAGACAACTTTTTCGCTCTCTTGAGCGTCACTGTGACGTGAGATATGTACATGTAATTTTGAACTTTTTTATAATTAAATTTTAGCCTTAAAAGTTTTATGTTTATGCTTTTTGGGACTGAATGTTAAGTGAGTGGTGTATCTGAACATTTTGTTTTGTTTAGAAATGAATTTTGGCATCTGAAGTTTCAGAAATCTGACTCTTACGGTCTTCTTTCAAATAGTTTTACCAAAGAGGGGCAGCATGGTCATTTTTCCTCAAACAGCTGCCCCACAGTTGTTTATACACAGCTGCACCAAACAGACAATCAACCTCCCTGCAGCTACTTCCCCGCAGCAGCTTCCTGGGGCAGCGAAGCTGCAGCTGGCCCAAACAGACCCTTATTTTCTCTTTTGCCTAAGATTTATTTCATTATTAAAAAAGCTTTCTTTCATATATCTTTATAAATATTTAAATTTAGATATTTACATTTAGAGTAAGAAATAATGCTATAGAACCTGAAAGACAATACCATTCAATAAATACGTCATATTTATTGGTTTGATTTTTTTTCTCATAGTTCTTTGAGGCATTGAGATATAGGATGTGTTCAATGAGTATCATTTTTTATGGCTAAAGCATTACTCATATATTATTTAAAATTATAAAAATTATTGATATATCATCCCATTGCATGTAAATGATCAAGTTAATAGAGAAAATTGAATATAGTTGCCTTAGAGATCACATATATCACTAGTAAACAGTCATGTAATAAAAGTGATATATTTTTATATGAAAATTATGAAAAAAAAAACTCATTTGATTTAATCTAATGAAGATAAGTTTCCCCAATAGTAAAATGAGTTACAAAATACTACTCTTCTCCATAATTGATAAGTTGGTCAATATGAACTATAAAAACCATGTTATTATAAGTGTATAAAAATATAAGAACATTGATGGGACATCCAAATTTGGGCACGACATACCATGCATTGGAGATGCTAGTTACATAATCCCAATATTACAAAATTTATAATACAGCTCTAAGTAATAAAAGAAACCCATAAAAAACTTCTCGAGGATCCATGTAGCCATGAGAACTCTATAATTTTTTAGCATTTAAAATGCTTCCAATATAATTAATTAAAGAAATTTTAAATATTTTAAGAGGGTAGCCAATATTTATTTAAAATATGCAAGGACATTCCCTTTAGATCATATCATTGACCGGTGCAAATCATCTCCTTCCACAATTGCATAATAATAAAACAATAATGTCTCTAAGCTGGCTTGACCAGCTTATGTGATAAAAAAATAGAAGATTTGCAATGAAGATATAAAAGGAGATGGTTGACATTGTTGGGATACCACAACAATAACAAGTTTTTATCCCATTAAGTGGGGTTGGCTACTTGAATCAGTTTATTTCATTGTGTTCTATTAAGAGTCATATTTTCATTTAATTGTAATAAATTAATATCAATTTTGTACAACAAGCCTGTGTCTTTTTTAGATCTACCTCTACCTTTCTTAGCATAAGTCAAATAAAAAACATCTACTCTCATTATTGGGTCATCAGATGGTCAACGTTTGTGTGACCAAGCCATGTAAGTTGTCTCTCCTTAATCATGTCTACCATTAGAGCTACTACAACCCTTTCACAGATATATTTGTTTTCTAGTTTATGTCTAAATGTAAAGCCACTCATCCACCTGAGCATTCTCATTTTGACAGCACTTTAGTTAATTTTATGCTTCTTTTTAATAGGCTAACATTCAGCAGCATAATGCATTATAATTCTCACCACCATCTTATAATTTTTTCCTTTAAGTTTAAGTAGTACTTTTCTATCACATGGTAGGCCTGATGCATTCCTCCACTTCAACCATCCAACTTTAATTCTACTAATAACATATCCATCTATATCACTATCACTTTGAATGATAGAACCAACATGCCTAAATGTTTACTCCTTTTAATGAATTTATCACATATTATTACAATCCCATCAGTAGATCTAGTACTACTAAGATTAAATTCAATGTATTCTATTTTAGATCTACTGAAATGAAATCCTTCAGAATCTAAAGTTAATCTTCATAATTCAAGTTTTCTCGAACCCTCTCTATTCTTATCCATAACAAGGATTTCATCAACAAAAAGCATACACCGAGATAAATTCTCCTACAAATATCTAGTAAGAATATATATAATTAAAGAAAAAATATATCGGCTTAAAGTCAATCCTTGATGTAATCCAACTAAAATAGGGAAATGCTTACTTAATCCTTCTTATGTTTGAACAAAAGTAACAGCTCTTGTATACATATCATTGATGAATTAAATATAAGCAATAGTAACGCCTTTCTTTTCTTAAACATACCAAACTACTACTATTGGAACCTTATCATAAACATTTTCTAAATCAATAAAAATCATATGTAAATCTTCCTTACCCTCTCTATATTTCTCAATCAAACCACTCAATAAATGTTTAGCTTCCTTAATAGACTTTCTCTATATGAATACAAACTAATTTTAAGAAACTTTGTATCATTCCATAACCTATGTTCAACTGTTCTCCCTCATAACTTTAAATTATCACATGTTAAATTAAGTCCACTACAATTGCATCCAACCTATTCTTAATAATATGAATCAATCAACTCTTTCTCTATTCATCGGGCATTTTTTTAATTTTTTAAAATTTTATTAAAAAGTTTAGTAAGAAACTAAATTCTCATATCTCCTAAATATTTACAACACTTTTATTAAAATACCATCAAGTCCTATTACTTTTTTTGAGTTCATTCTCTTTAAAGCTTCCTCAACTTTTGTTTTACTAATGTGACAATAAAAATAAAAAAATTGGTTATTAATTATGGTACTAAAATCAGTAAAGCAATGATAATTTCAAAATATTTATTAAATAATTTTGTAAAATTATCTCACTCACAAATGTTTAATATCTCATCTAAGAAAAATATTTTTTGTTCTTCATCATTAATACATTTTACTTGAACTAACTATTTACTTTTCTTATATATTTTCTTCGCTAGTTTGTAAATATATCTTTCACCTTCTTGAATATTTAATTTATAATAAAGGCTACTTAAATTAAAATTCTTTGCACACAAATTATTCTCTTTAATTTCCTACAAAACCACCAAATAGTATTTTTCCAATTATCCAAGCTTTTACATATAAACTAATTTTTATAATAAAGCTTCTTATTTTTTTCTTTTCTTTCACATTATTTTTCTACCATGAACTATTTTTACATAAGAGCTTTCTTTATAATCCCAGCAAAATTTTTACAACTTGCTTAATAGTACTTTTTATTCTATTTCCTATAATATTAACTTCTTCATGAACATCTCAAATATTAAGATCTTAAGGTTTACTCATAAAAATAATTTTATTTGTGTCTTTTAAATCCCATAATCTAATCCTATGATAATAATTCACTATATTTTTTATCTTACAACCATTGATCTTAAAGTCTAAAACTAATAATCGATATTGGATACTTAAAACTGTTATTTTGAATGACCTTACAATCTTTACAATCCCGATAATCTATTTTTATCATAAGAAAATAATCAATTTATAATTCATTAGATCCATTCATAAAAGTGATGATATTCTCACATTTTATCTTAAATTAAATATTAGCAAGAATAAAATCATAAGTTAAAGTAAAATTTAATATGACTCTACCTTTTTTATTATTCACTTTATAACTATAGTCACCATGAATACTTCTAAAATTATCTACTATTCTACCAACATATCCATTTAAATCTCCTTCAATAAAACTTATTTCTTCAAGTGGTATCATTTGTATTAATTCTTATAGTTCATTAAAAAATTTCTTATCAACATACATATAAATCTACTTAGGGAGCATAAACACTTGTAACATTAAGAATCTTTGTATCAATAACTGTCTTTAAGGTAATAATTAAATCT